GTGGTCTCTGCTTTCAGCCAAGATCCATCTAACATCAGCTACAATATCCTGTAGGAACATGCAAATAAGTTGCACAGATAGCTAACAAGGGGAATTGTCAATTTTACCATCATGCCAAGATGTCTATTTGTGTTTTATTGACTATGTAAAGGAGTTTGAGTGTGTGGATCATAACAATTTATGGCTAATATTGGTAAGCATGGGAATCCAGAACACTTAATTGTCCTGATGCAAAACCTATACTTAGATCAAGAAGCTGTTGTCCAAACAGAGCAAGGGAATAAACACTGCATGGTTTAAAATCAAGAAAGGTATGTGTCAGGACTGTGTCCTTGCTCCATACCTATTCTATCTATACATTGATCAAATCATTTGAGAAGCTGGACTTTACAAGAATGTGACATCAGGATTGGAGGAAGACTCGTCAATAAGCTACATTTTGCAGATGACACAACCCTGCTTGCCGAAAGTGAGGACTTGAGGTGCTTGTTGCAGAAGATCCAACACTACAATATAGATTTCATCTTAATATCAAGAAGGCAACCCCTTACCTCTAGACCAATAGGCGATCTCATGATAGATGGAGAAAAACTGAAATCATCAGTGACTTCATTGTACATGGATCTGTACTCAATACTTTTGGTACCAGCCTTCAAGAAATCAAAAGACATGTTGTTTTGGAAAAATCTGCTGTCAAGGGCCTCTTCAAGGTGTTAAGAAACAATGTTGTAGTTGTTAGGTGCTGTCATTTCAAATGTTGTCCATAGCAACCTTATGAACAACAGATCTAAATCCTGTGCCATCAACACACTTCCTGACACACTAGAGCCCATGTGGCAGTCACTGTGTCACTCTACCTGGTTGAGGATCTTCTCCTCCTTCTCTGTCCCCCCACCTCCCCAAGCATGATGTTCCTGTCCAAGGAACAGCCTTTCCTAGCAACATGCCCAGAATATGTGTGATGAGGCTTCATCTTTGTCTCCAAGGAAGACTCTGGCTGTACCTTCTCCAAAACGTATTTGTTTTTTTGACCATCCATGGGATAATTATCACTCTTCTCCCACACCACACCTCAAAAGCATCAATTCTTCTGTTATCCTTATTCATTGTTCAGCTCTCAGATGTGTATTAATTGACTGAAAAGATGATGGCCTGCATCAGGCACACCTTAGTCCTCAAACTGACATCATTGCTCCTCAATAAATTGAAGAGGTCCCTAATTGCAAACTTTCCAAGTACAATACATCTCCTGACTGCTAGTCTCAGTTGTATTGCTTGTGGGTCCAAGTAAGATGAAGCAAGGGTAACTGCTGTATCAAATACCAGAGGGGTCACCCATGATGGACAGATTTTAGTAGAGCCCTCAGATTGAGAGAGACTAGGAAGAAGGATTGACAAGCCACTTATGAAATAACAGGTTATGAAAACCCTATGAGCAGGAGAAATTATGTCAGTTGACAGACAAAGTGCACCTGATTCAGGCCATGGTCTTTTCAAATACTCGCTATGTATCTGAAAGTTAGACTTCCTTGGATGACTAAGGATGACAGAAGAATTGGTGCCTCTAAGTTGTGTTGTTGGAGAAGAGTACTGAATATTTCACTGACTGTCAAAAGAACAAGTAGTTAGGTCTTGAAGGTGCAAGCATGGTGCTTCTAGGAGGCAAGGATGGTGAAGCTTCCTCTCACATATTTTGGATTTGTCAGTAGGAAAGAGTCAGTCCTTGGTAATGGACATCTTGCTTGGAAAGGTGGAGGGTCAGTGAAGATGCGGGAGGTACTGAGGGAGCCGGGTTTGCACAATGACTGTAGCAGCAAGAGCACGGTCAGGACGACCTGGGAGCAGGACAGCGTGGACGACATGGGACAGCAAGGCTCAGCTCCATTGCTCACAGGGCTCTTCTGAGCTGTTGTCCATTCAACAGCATCTAACAAGAGGCTTCCATCAAGAAAGAAGTGGGGAGTGGAGGGCCGCTTTGGACCAGAGAGTCCAGAGTATGATGGAGCCAGACCACACCCGTGCTGTGTTGTTAACACCAGCACTGATTGCAGCAGCAACATAGTAGTGACAGCTAACCAGTGACCAACACGAGACACAGCTGAACTGGACCGCCGTCCCATGGAGCCTGAGCCGAGGGCCTTCACCCAGACTTACTGGAAGGCTGTGGAGGAGACACCATGACTGGCGGGACTGGAAGAGCTCCGTGACACGGGCCGAAGTGCCGCGGCTGCTGGTGAGAAGGCCTGCCCGCACAACTGAGATGCTGCCCTGTAAAGGCTCGTGTATGTTTCCAGCCTGCTTTGCAACCGGATTCTAAGATTTGGAAATGCTGACCCTCTGTTAAAAAGAGACGGTAATATAGGATCCTTTCCCTCCCCTGGTCTGCAGTCTTGACAGGATGTTGGCAGAGACCTCTGGTGTATGGACTCAGGGAGGCAGGACAGCCTTCAGCGGTTGCTGGACTTGTGAGCGCTGTGTATCTCTTGGCTTCCGTGTCTCTAAAATTATTTTCAACTGTTCTGTGTATGCAGCTCAGGGCACTCCCCTCTCTGCCCCTATGGTTTTTCACTTGATATGGGGGTGTAATAACAACTTCTTCCATGACTACGATTTTTTTTCTCTTGCATTTACAGTCTTTAATAGTTTTGTGAATGGTCTGGAAGGGCTTCTGGCCCTCGAGGGAAACACCGGCAGTGATTGCATAGGCAACTGTTACTCCCCAAATCACCCCACACTCAGCGTGTTGCCTGTGAGTTCTGTGTGGCTGTTGCAGTGGAACAGCAGATCCAGCGAGCCCAGGAGGGACAGCTGGTGTTAGGCCTGGTCCAAGTCGGTTCGGGAAGTATAGAGGCACATCTGACCTTATAGGAGTAATTTCTGTGCTGTGGATGTTGTGAATGGAGACTGACGCCCCTTGTGGAGTTAGTGGAGATCAGACGACGCTGCCTCCACACTGGCCACTCTCCTCTGACACATGCTGTGTCAGTGTGTGTGACTCAGTGGGCTCTTTGCAACAAACTGTGACGTGTATGATTTGGACATATCCCTTAAAGCTGCTGTGTAACTCACAGGGCTTGACGTTCTCCCTGTAATAACACCTGTAACAGGTGTGACCTGATGCTATGTCCTAGCATGCCATAGCATATGTTTGACTTGAATGTACCCTCTTCTACCTCCAGCCACGGGCTGCCGCCAGCTCTTCTCGGACCAAATCGACGGTGTGCGGAGTTTTTGTAAACTGGTTGTTGTGATCCAGGAGTGCTCACACTGTGATGTGTACATAGCTCCAGGCCAGGCCTCCCCAGCCAGTCGGCCCCCAGCATTAAACCACCACACAACTTTCCAGGACTTTCACAGGTGACAGTAAGGCCCTGGCCAAACTGCTGCAGGATGAGGTGGCCCGGGGGGCCCCAGCCAGAGAGTTAAGCTGGCCTCAGGCAGCTGCATCTCTGAAGCTCAGCCCTGAGCCCCCTCCCAGACTCCTTGGCCGGACATGAGGATGAGAGCCTAGTACGGTGCCTGCACAGCGATGGATGCACAGGCCTATAGGACCAATTAGAGATGGTCATGCGGTGCCAAGGCTGGCCTCTGAGCGGGGGAAGAGGGGGACAGCCTCATCTCTTCCCGCAGGGTGTCTAGTGGGTTAAGTGCTTAACCATTCTGCTTGAGTTCCTTTCAATAACTGGCAGAATGTTCTTCTGGACTTGGGAAAGATTGACTAGGGACAGTGATAGAGCTTTCATCCCTAGAGAGACAAACGAACATCTCCGGGGATTTAGGGCAAGTGCACCCAGACAGACCTCTCACAGTGAGGGACGCCCCAATCTGCCGGCTTGGCCCCGCCCACACACCCTGGTCACGCCCCGAGGCCTGCCGGCCTGGTCCCGCCCACACGCCTTGGCCACGCCCTGAGGCCTGCCGGATTGGTTCCGCCTACACGCCTGGTCACGCCCCGAGGTCTGTCTGCTTGGCCCCGCCCACACGGTCCCGGGCGCATCCCAAAGCCCCGCCCTCCCCGTCACAAGCCCCGCCCCATCACAAGGCCCCTGCGTCTCCCAGCTGCAGGCGCAGGCCCAGCAGAGCTGGCCGCCGAGCGGTGCTGGCGGAGCGGCCTATCGACCGCCGGCCGCCCAGCAGACGCCAAGTGCACCGGCAGCGGCACTCGGCCACCGGTGAGTGTAGGCCTGCGCCCCCCTCGCGTGTC